GTTTCCTGAACAACACATGTTAATATATATACACAATATTTATCAGATCAGACTGGTAGAAAGGGTACATACATCGGCTAGTCGTCCAACAGTGGTAGTGAGGAGATGAAGGGTGTTGTCACACATTGACCTGAGTGACTCATTAGTTACCTCCTCTGGATCTGTGGGCCTCTGACTCCGCTGAAGACACACAGAAAAGGGCACAGGTAGTAATACATATTTTACTTAAAAACATCTTCGCTGGGCCTTCTGTACAGTTCTTCCTTAATCTGGGGTGCTAAAGTCCTCAGGTTATCTGTGAGAGGACTGATGTTTCACATCTGCAGAATCTGTCATTTTCAGCTCCATATAGTTCATTAATCTTATAGACTTTAAGATAAAGTATTAAAGCTAATTTGTGAATTATGAATTGTGAATGATTATGAATGTCTGGGCATTAATGGGCTTGTTTGCATGTCATCATTCATGTTTGCACCTTAGATTTTAATCACATAGAAAACAGAAAATGATATTTGTTTTTACTGTTACCATTTTGTACATGGTGTACATATATACAACAAAAAGCCACCATACTAACACACACACATACAGCACTGAAAATGCAACTAACAGAGAACTTCCATACAAATCAGGAAAAAAAAGGGGGAAATGAACACAAAAGGAGTTGTACCTGATACGTGTCAGGTAAAGCACAATGTTGAACTATGAATCGAACCAGTAACTCTCCTCCCTCTAACTCCAAGTAGCCGTGATGAGCCATGGCACTGATCACTTGGACCACACGCTTCTTCACCTGGGAAACAATGACATCATTGTCTAAACAACTAAAAGCTTAAGGAAAAGAGTAAAACACAAGAAGAATATGTTCATCCATCTAACAGCATGATAGTCAAAAAAAATAAAATAAAAAGGTGTGTGTGTGTGTGTGTGTGTGTGTGTGTGTGTGTGTGTGTGTGTGTGTGTGTGTGTGTGTGTGTGTGTGTGTGCGCGCGCGTGTGTTACCTTGTTGCTGTGGTCAGCCATCGGCTGTCTGATGCTGGCCAGAATCAGCAGCTTCTTGCTCTCCATAGTAGAAGCTGTAATGCACAGGTACTAATAAAGGCAAAGTCTTAAATAATCAAATGAATCAACACTTCTATGCACACATAGATACATAAATACTATCACGTGATTGAGGTAAACTGAACAATTTGCTTCTTACTTGTCTTGAAATGTCTGTGTGCCGTAAAACAGGCAAGTGTGTGATCAGGGAATAGTGTGTGTCATGCTTGGAGCTGTTATTGTATTTCCTTACTGGAGGAGTTGATGAGGTGACGGAGGACAGCCAAGGAGCCCATCCTGCTTCTCTCATTACTGTTCTCCAACTTCTGAAGAACAAACATAACCAGGCGATCTGGGAAAGAGTTCGCTAAAGGGAGAGAATTAGAAGTTTAAAAAAAAAATAAAAAAATACATTTAAATGTGAAATGCATAAATTGACACAGATGTAATAATCAGGTCAAAAAAAGGCAAGCAAAGCAAGACAGAGGATAAGAGCAGTCCACAAACTGCCACAGTTAATGCAATTATCCTGTGGTGGAAACTGGGTCTAACACGCTAATGCACATCTCATTACTGCTCTTGTGACTCTCCAGAGCTAAACCAGATAGAAAAGCTTGACCGGACAACATTCAGCTGTCACTTTGCACTCAACATCAACATAAGAAGAAAAATAAAAGTAAAATTAGTACCAATCAAACTGAAGCAGCGCAGGACCTCATTGTGGTTCTTGACAGTAGGAGGGTTACTGTAGTCAACAGGGGCAGACACCTGGTAGAAACAAGGGAAGAGCATCATGGTGTCTATTCTGGTGACTTTTAGTTACATCAGGAAAATAATGGTCACGGTAGATTCGATTATTTTAGATGTCATTAAAAATGGCTCACTATAACACAATTGTGCTACATGTCGCATTATTCTAAATAATATTTTTACCATTACCTTTATCCCTTGTATTAAAACAGCTGTGATAATAACAGCGTATGTGTTATTCAGCATGGATAAAATACAGTTTTCTAATTTGGTTTCTGTGGCTTCGGGTGTCATGGGTGCAGATGTGTGTTTGGATCAGTGACAGCCAGGAAATGTATATCTACCTAATACGAATCACTGCATTTGTAGATTAAAAATGGGACTGATATAATTTTACATAACAAGGACTCTGCTCATAATCTACAAGTCAGTGTGCAAATCAAGCAGCTAAAGGCAATAAAACATTTGTATAAACGCTCTCCTGCAGCTGTATCATATATAGGGATGATGTGTTCTCCTGCTGCTGAAGAATGGGAGAATATTAACATGAGTTCATTTTTGCATGGACCAGTGCATTTTTGAAAACCATAATAAAAAAAAATTAACAGTCTGAGCTAATGACACATGGTCTGTTTTTACAGCACAAAGTCACATGTGTTTATTGTTTTTGAAAAGCTTCATGTGCCACCACTTTCCCACTTCGGGTACACTTCTCAGCTGAAAATAAGAACTGAAAATGTTGTAGGAACACATTCTTAACAGCAACATGTGCTTTTAAGCACCGTTAAATATTACATATATAAAATGGAGGGGAAAAAAATTACAAAAGGAACTGTAACAGACACTGCTGCTGTAACATTATGCCATCACATCACATTACGTAGTTGAGGTGAAATTTTGCAACACGCAGGCATCAGGCCAAGTGTCAGCTGAGTCATAAGGATGTGAAAATGTGTGACCTCAGTAACAGTTACGGTCATTTGATTCATCAACTAAGAAAAGCAGCACAGGTGAGCAATTCGCAAGAATTAACCCAGTCCATTCATTCACAGATTTGTGCTTTCAATACCATAAGTAGTTCAGCACCAAACAGAAATACTGAGACACAATTCTTCTAACCATTTGTTTCTCATCAATACACTACACGATCAATGATACCAATTTATTACCATGCAAAGAAGCAAAGAAATGCACTTAAAGTGTACCTGTTGGTGCAGTGCAAAGAGCAGAGCTTCCAGTTGTGCCTCCAGCACCCTGCTGCCCATGTTGACAGATGCATCTAGGACTTGGCACAGACTCTGTTTAGAAAACCAAAACAGGTACACTCACGCAAAGGCTCAGACTCAGTTTAAGATGCACTTCTACTTAAAGCCAGGACAGAGTTTAGAGATGCTCAGAGAGTGATGGTCCTCCATTTCCTTACATAAATTATACTTTCTACAAAAACCCATAATAAACAATCCCTACACTGATGCATCACACTGTGCCCACCTTGCTAATGATGTAGTGCTCGTTGTTTTTCTTGTACAGGGACAGGATGGCAGGAACAAGTCTGGGAATCTGTTCCTCCAGTTTATCGCTGGCCATCAGATGACACATTGATCCCACCGCCTCAGCCACTGTCAGCCTCAACTGGAAGCCAAACAGATACAAAGAAAAGTCAGAATATGAGGTGATAGAGATGACAGAGATTAGGTGAGTACTTGGACATATTATGTGTAATAAGAATGACCTTCACATCAATAACCTGTGATTGAATAAATATTAGTTCCCAGAAAAAGCCTCTTTCTGAGATAATTTAACTAAATACTCTTCTAATAAACAGTTGTATCTTCCCAATTGTGCAACAAATGGTTTAATTGTTCGGCTCAGTAACACAGATTAATATAGAGTCAGTACAAAAAGTAAAGATGTCACCCTCTTCTAGTTGAGTTTTGTGACTCTCTTTTGTTGACTAAAACAGATTGCACCTTCCAGAAAACTCAAAAAACATTTTTTTTGGAATTTCCCAATAAAACAGTGTCTCTCCAGGATAGGAGAGTAAATTACACCAAGTGTTCTCTCTGTGAGAAAATTAATTTAGCTTTTATCATTTATTTTTTTATTTGTCATTGCAGCTTTGGATGGCTTACTTCTGCTTCCTTAATGATTCAGCTTCCTTCAACAATGCCTCAACCCATGACTTCTTGCAAAATGTAGGTGGTTTTTCAGTTGTATAGTCCACTGCATTTCATATCATCTTGCACGATCAACCTACCTTGGGCTCTCTGCTTTGTAACCAGTTATTAAAGAGGATTTCAAAAGCAGCATAGATGTCACTGGAGAACGTGTCTTTTCTGACTGAAGGATCTGGAGCCTTATCTAAGTTGGCCAGGTACTCCAAGATACTGTCGCTGAAATGAGACAGAGCTGCAGGGAGAGAAAAAACAACAAAACAGGAAACAGAAAAGCCGTGTGACTGTAAAGAGCAGGCAAAGCAAACACGTGAACATCGTGAAGCTGCACTTTTTGTTTGGTTTGTTCAGTCAAAATCTAAGAAACCACTGGAAAACAGGTCAGGTGGTTCTTACCAGAAGAGAAGACCCACTTTATGTTGTCCTGTTTTGCCATGCTCAGCATGGGTAACATGGTTCCCAGAATAGCATTCAGAAACGGCACCATGCCATAAACTAGAGAACAGAACAGATTACACATTTATGGCACGCTTACATTTCCCTCTTCCTCTATAAAAGCAGTGAGACATACATTGGCATTATTTTTGCACTATGAGACAAATTTTTATACAATAATTCAAATGGATTTGTCTATCAGTTATTTGGCTGTTACCACAATAAGTGACACTCAGACATGAGTAGTTCAGACAACTCTGATTATTTTTCTTTTAAGTTATTCCAGATTTCATTTTATGGAGTTTGGGGAGAAAAAAAACAACAACAACTTCATTCATGCCATAAAACACATGCTCAAATTCAAATGTAGGATGAGTAACGTCAGCCGCACTTTAAAGGCCCTTTAAAGACTGACAAACTCTGTTTAACTACCTGACATGCTACTTTGGTAGCTGCCATACTCTGAGCACAGACACTGAAGTTCAGGGCTCTAAATAAGTTTTACTAATCCATTAGAAAAGTACACATCAGCTCAGAAGTTTTGAAAAATATCTTACTGGTGCCAGTATGACTCCATACTTAGTGGAAAAAAATGAGCCCTAATCATTCGTAATCAGAGTGCTCCTAAAAAAACAGAGAGAAAGAAAAAAATCCTGGTGTTGTGCAAAATCTTTGACCTGCAAGTGCTCTTACTGGACAGGTTTAACAGGTTCAGCTTTTCTCAGCAACCACTCAATTCCTTTCTTCTCAGCCAAAATCCTAACCTGGCCTGCATGTGGGCTTCCTTAAAGACAGACTGCACATTTTTCCTTTCATGTACGCCAGTAAAAATGTCCTTACCATTTGAATCAGAGAGGTTGGCCAGTGTTTGAACTACAAAGAAGTGAGGCAGGACCCCTGGCTGGAACTTGCTTAGTATCTCCTCCATGATGTCATTGATGTGCTTATTACCCACCGCGACCAAGATATTACTGGCTGCCTGCTGCCAGTCTGGGATGACCTCCTGAATCAACCATGATGGCAGAACAACAATGAAGAGGATGTAAGAAAGGGGCCACACAAAACTGTATGACTAAGGCTTTTAAGATATCTTAATCAAAACTCAATCATGTAATGTCCACACTCTTAAAAAACACAAAAATCAATGATTAAAAGTAAATATTCTACCTTTGTCAAAGGAGCTTAGAAAGAAAAACATCTGGACTTCTTTAAGTTTCTTGAAGACGTTACAGCTCTCAGCTTCTTTAGCTCTAAAGAAGAAGAACTGAAGAAGCTTCTCGGATGAGAGGTGAAAGGTCCACTTAAAGAAGTCCAGATGCTTTTCTTTCCAAGCTCCTTAGACTACAATGACCTGGGCGACTGAGAACCTTCACAAACATAAATAATTTACCTTTGATCGAGTCATTTCATCTGAGGCCAGGGAGATAATACTCTTTATCCTGGAAGGACTGATCTCCTCTATCCTGCAGCTAACAATCAGCTCAATAGTCCGAAGAATCACAACTCTGTGGCTCACCACCAGCTACAGAAGAAAGATGAGATGAAGAAGAGGAAGATATGAAGAGGCGATATAAAAGCATGGAAAAAAAAAAAGAAAAAAAAAAAAAGAGGACCACAGGCTGGTCTGCGATGGAATAACATCAGTCACTATGCCAATAAGCTCTCCGACCACACAGAAATCAGCCTTCATTTTGATGTCAGTACAAGCGTAAAATCTGATGACTGCATCTCCCAAAGCTGTGTTACCTTGTTGTCAAAATCTGTCCATAGAAAGGCAGAGCTTCCAAAATAGCCTTTGTGGTAGTTTCTGTTATAGTATATGTCTCCCTAAGCACATTTTAGCATGATGATACTGACGGATTAATAAGATGAAAACAGTATCAGCCTCACTGACAAGGTCATTAACATAAAGGAGAACAGGAACACAATGGAGTGAAACAGGAAATTAAAATGCTACAGGAGCAGTTAATCTGAAACATAACAGCATGACTCTGTTTTCTGCTGAATGCCAGGGACTGCCTTTAGATGAGCAAAGAATATATCACTAAGAACATTTTACACCATCTAAATTAAAAAAAGCCAACTAATGAAGTGAATGAAGTCAGTGGCTACAACGGTATCAAAAGTCTCTGCATCTGTGTGTGGGAAAAAAATGCAGAAAAACAGGCTCAAAATAGATTTAACAGTCCATATTGCTTTTAAACATTAAACGACTTTGCAGTTGTTTTCTTAGTTACGTAATTATGGCTGACTTTCGTCTTCCTAAGGACTCTCACTCTTCTGGGTTGTTACCTTAGGGTGTTTCAGGAGGTAGTCCTGACACATGGCCAACACTCGGTCTGGCTGCTGTTTTCCCAGAGTCAAAATAGACTTCCTGACTTGTTCCTGGACTTCTGAGTCTTTATCGGTGGCTGCATCAAGAAGAGCCAGGGTCACCTCTGAAAGGAAAACACAACCTCAGAAGCATATCGGAGCAGAAAAGGAGTAAACATAAGTGGATGGACAACATTTCAGAAAGCTGAATTGACCAATGTCAAATACATGTGGCTTAGCCTTCAGTAGGGAAGGGAAGAGACTCACGTTCAACATCCGTCTCATCCATGTTGGACAGCAAGGAGCTCTGGCTTCCTGGAGCCGGAGGCCAAAGAGGGGTTGTTTCTCCTGGGATACAGATAGGCTAGAGCTACCAAAGACAGTATACAGTATTTACAGTTAATACTGTTCTTAATATTGCCATTTTTTCATTGGAAATAAACTGCTGTTTTGACTTGGGAGCAACCAAAATCATTTAAAATGTTCATACTACCATGCCAGTATGGATGTTCCTTTATCAAATATGTGCAGTAATGTATGCAAAAACATGACAACCAGGGGTTAAAGTGGGGAACAATCTGAAATAGCATCCCACCGCCTTCAGTTAATGATTAATTACATCTGATAGAGAGGTTAGTGCATCTTACTATTGAGTGAGTTGTGCTTGCTTCCAGTGATGGCATGGAGACACTTGCTCAATAATAAGAAAACAATGACATCCCATGGTTCATTTACACCTTAAACACATCCCTTTTTCCTTTTCATCCCTGTGATGCAATTAATGGTGCTGATTTAAATAAGGTTTCACGGTAGTCTGCATCTAGTTAGTGCCACAGAAGAGGTAAGAAATGATTTTTAATGGGGAAGTATTGTAAAAAGTAACTTTAAAACAGCTCAACAAATATCAACAAATGCACAAACTATATCCGTGCAGTGTGTTGCAAAATACATCCGTGAGCTAAATGGTCAGTTGCTTTTTTTTTTCCCCAGGGAGAGGAAAAAATGTTAACATGCATCACTGACATTTGGAGAAAGATGCCAGAAAGATGAGTTATTTATTTTTAAAGAATGGGATTTTCACATGCTGAGCAGTCTCTGAGTTTTAAATCAGATACTGGATTATGCATGATGTGTTGCTGAATTATGTTTTTGCCTAATATTTTGCAAATGCTTACATGAAAATATGGCAGTAGGCAGTTTACTGCATGCTACACTGGTTAGTTTGCAGTATTGTTATCAAGTTTACAGAGAATTAGTTGAACTGAATATATCTTGGGTACTGCTAATGGGTTACATGAGTTTATATTTAAGGTGATTAAGTTGATGCTGATTAGACTCATTCACCGAAGTCTACCTTTTACTGTCTTAACATCTGCTTATATCTTGTTGAATTCAGGTGGTTAAATCCATAAAGAGCAGGGAATATCGGAGTAGCATGGCAGTTCAGCTGATCACAATCTGCAGACAAAGAAACATCTACTGGACATCACAGAACACATTTTTATGTAACTTACTTCTAACTCACAGTAATTATTTGGCCCTGCTGCAGCCAATCTTTGTGCCTTCACCTGCCAAATCTCAGTTTAACCTCTGATTACAACAACTCATGTAGACACAGGGAACCTGCGGGAAGCTACCTGAGAGCAGACAGTTGATTGTGACCTCTGTGACAAGTTCACACTGAGACACGCTAACACCTATTAATGAGTTTAAGGCTGTATTCAACCAAAAACTGCCACTATCCGGTCAATAGGACTTAACTTTTTATCAGTCCGCCACACCTGCTGTGCTAAAGGGTTAACATAACCAACAACTGAATCGTTGCTAGCTCGTTCAGTCATTTATTGTAATTTTACGTTGATTATACCATAAAGAACGATGACATTGCAAGCAAACACACCGTGTGGGCTAAGCTAAGTAGAGTGCCTGAAGTGAAGCCACTTATACATGAGTGAACTGTTAAAGCTTTAGCTTTTACCTGCTTTGGTGGTGATGCTGCTGTCGCAACCTACTCAAGAGTCATTAGTGTGCTAACCTAGCAGCAGCTGCTGCTACGGAAGAGCTACTAGCCTTCTTATTGAAGCAAAACAGCGGCCTTTCTAATATGGCTAACTTACCAGCCGAGGGTCTGCCAAACAATAATCTCTCACCCCACGGTCAAGTCTTATCTTGGTTTAAAAAACAGGCTTGCGTATCCGTGTCACAGTTGACGTTAGCGCCTGACTAAAGACTGCAGGTGTAAACACGCTTGGTCATGTGCTTTCAGTCAGCAGGAACGCATCAGGCAGGGGGCGTGGCTAGCGTGCAGACCTGAAACACATAGAGCTGCCACCATCACTGCTACCGAGAGGTATCGAGACTTTGACTTGCTCAAGTGCGTCATCAAATTAGTATTTATTTCTGTTGGGTAAACTGGGTACCTCATCATAATTCATTATTAAAAAAAAAAAAAGTAAAAACGGTTAAAAAAAGATAAAGTGGATGTGGGTGTTTGATGTGAATTACTCAAAGAAAAACATTCAAGCGTAAGTGTGAGTGTAAATGGAGCACAAACGCAATTTTAACATACTAACAGTACTAATAGAACAAATCTCCATACTGTAATGGAGTTGTGGTTATGAATTTTTAAAAAAAGGGTATGATCCTTTTATAGACGAAAAGTCTGTCAATAAAGATTGATTCATTGATTGATTGAATCATTGATTGATAGATAAAGTAGATGTTTTTTCTAACTATAGATTTAATATTTATGTCTTTTAGGACTCTAACAAGGGTTACTGGGGAAAAGATCACATTATTTCATCAAACAATAAAAGTACAAATTCCAATCTTGACTTGGTTACTGTGCTCTAATTCTACACAAATTAAATGTGTGCAGGAAATGTCATCTCCAAAAGAATATAAAGACTTTACAGATTGAAATGTTTACTTAAAAGCCCAAAAGAATATTTGTCATGTCTCTTGGAGCAATAGTTAAAATCGTGGGGAAATACTGCCATCTAATGATCCACCCTAACATTGTCGCATGGGAAGTAGTTTCACCTCTGTCGTTATTTGTTCACTTCTCTCTGTGATGATAGTTTTCATTACATATTAACTACAGTGCTTAAGAGTTCTGTGCAGATTCAGTTTTTTCTCTTTGTTTTTAGTTTTCTTCGTTGGTCTAACCATGGACTATAATAATGACCAAGTGTTCACAGATAGAGTTGTGACTGGAGTCCAAAGATATGTAAATGAACTAGCTAACAATAGAAAGCATAGAACATGCCTAATTATTAACAAATATAGTTCAACATTTGACATTTGTTGCACCTTTAAGCATTTTTTGTGGGTCCTGTGTTGAACTTGTTATGAGAGGAAATTAGAAAAAGAAAAAACAGTCGACTGTATCTGTCTTGGGAGAGATTATAGATGTTGCATTAAAGATTCTTTTTATATTTTTAACGCCCCAAATTGGGATTTTTAGCATTCTTTTGCAAGACAAAGAGCAAGCCACACACCGTTGTCCAGGTTTAAAAAAGTGCTTGATTTGAAGAATCTTAATTAATCTTTAACAAATGCTTTGCAGCTTTGACTTTCAAAGCTGTTGGCGACCAATCACTGAAGGAGGAGAAATGTCACTACTGTCACGGTCCGGGGCAGCGGCCGTGTGAAGAGTGGAAAGGAGGACTCAAATGCAGCACTTACTCAGATGTGAAGGCGATTTATTGACAATATCAAACATAAAGTGGAGATGGCGAAACAGAACTACGGATGAACTAAACTGAGTGAAACTACACAAAGGAGTGGCAAACCTGAACATGAACATGAACATGAACATGAACATGAACATGAACATGAACATGAACATGAACATGAAGGGAGAACAGCAGGGAGAACAGCAGGGAGAGCACGCAGGGGATTTCACAGGGTATGAACACAGACGACGCGACGAGGAACAGAGGCAAACACACACTATAAGTACACAGAGAGACACTGGGAAATCACACACAGGTGGGAGACACAGCTGGACCTGATTAACCTGACGAGACAGGGGAACACTAACACCAGGGACCAATAGAGGGAGCACAAACTCAGAACCCAGTACCTAAAATCCCAAAACACAAACCATCCCAAAACAGCCCATGAATAATAAAGAGAATAATAACAATAAAGAACATAAACACAAAGTCACTGAGTCATGGCCGGAGGACCATGACAACTACAGCATATAGTTTGCCATGGCAGCCCAGTGTATAATGCAGGCAACCCGAATCTGACCTGTGAAAATCTAAACCAAATTACTGTCTTAATACTTTTAGGTAACTGAAGTTATACACAGAAAGTGAAGAAACAATCAACAGATTGTATTGGTCAAAACTAAACATATATTCAGAAGTCATTTAAATACATATATGATCATTTTAAAAGAGAGCTACAGTGAAAATGTTCATCAGTAATGGATGCGGTAATCTTGATGCCCTCTCTTCCTCTAACTGATGGATGCAGGTGAGGACCATCTCTTTAATTTGGAGCATTTGCATGCAAGACACTTTATTAATCAGCACAAAACATCAAGTATACAAACTCTGTGTTTGAGTCCCATATAGTGAATTTGTGCCTGCCAGTTTCTTTTTAATAAAACATGAAAAATGAAATATTAAATTGCCTCAAATAAAAGTTTTGGGCAAATTTTGAGCAAGCAATGAAAGAATCGAATCTATATTTGACATTGATTTTAGCAATTTTACAATAGCCCTTCACTCCACAAAGGAGTCTGCGAAGGAGAAAGACAGATGCGCAGTGAGATTTTAAGTACGTGACACGAATGTTGATTGGCCGGGAAAAGGCAGAGAGAAGATGACTAGCCCAGCGATGACACAAGCAGCTTGACAGCGTGGGAAAGTGGATAAAGCTTAGATTTATTTGGCAGCATATGGGAGCGAGCAGACATTGAACCTTCCCATAAGGTTCATTTAAGAAAAATAGAACTAGGGTGGGGAAAAACCTTGCATTTTATTCATATATACTGGAAGAAAAAAAAAAAAGATCAGCACTAGGTGGTGAAAAAGACATTTTCTCAGGTTTGCTTCTCTGAAGAGTAAGATATGCATGTTTCACTTGTCGTTTTCTGGTTGTGACGTTCTGCTCAGCAGTCTGCAACTGTTTACAGAACTGGACTTTATCATTTTTATCACTGTTTAAGCATGAAGAAAGGAACCAGAACTGCTGTTTACTCTGTTTATACACACAAATTTGGGACAAAAGAGACTTGGACATCAGTTATTTCCTGAGGAAGTTCACTGCTTACATTTCAAAAGACTAACATAAGCTTTCTGTACCAGGAATGATGAAGTAGAGTCTGCATATTACAGCAGTGTATCTTATACCAAGACATATAATTAGAAAACTTGCTGATATGAAATAAATTGCTGGTCTCACTGTGCAGCATTGATTCATCTCGTTTACTCCCCTGCAGTGAACAAATTGAATAAACAACAAAACATTCAACAGAATTTCCTCCCTGTAGTCACCCTGTTGTCGGGTAGAAGCCTGAGGAGAGGACATTGCTGTCAAAGACAAAGAGGCTCAGAACCACCGTCCTCTCACTGCAAAAATGCAGAGCTCTGGTTCACCCCCAAATCAGACCGTTTTAGTATATTTGACCTCTCTCTTCTTTTGTTGTTTGTAGCCTACAGCATATTAAACAGTTTTCATATTCATCTCTGTGAACTGACCGACCTCATAAGCGAGTGTGGGAACCTCCACCTGTTGCATACTTTCCAGAGTGGATATGCTCTTCAGCATTACTTCTCTGTGTAGCAGAATGAATACTGTATGCAGTACTTTTGTTTGTAATCCAACTACTAACCAATCATATTAGATGGCTCTGCTATAAATAGTAGCTGCCATCTGAGTGTCCCTGAATCGCTCACCTGTTGTTATCCGCATGCGGCCTTTCGGTCACCTGACTTCCCTGGGTGTTACAGGTAGGAGGACATGTTGCGACTTCCTCAGCCTGAATTGGCTGTACTTTTGTTGATTGGTGTTACTCATGTTATCACCTGCGGATTATCTTCCTGAAGCCTCCCATCGCTGCTGGTATGTGTTTATTTTGTGTCATTTATTATTTTACTCGGTGGTAAATAAGTGTGTTTATAGGCAGTGTTGGGAAGGTTACTTTTAAACTGTATTCCACTACAGATTACAGAATACATGCCCTAAAATGTATTTTGTAACGTATTCCTTTACGTTACTCAGTGAGAGTAACGTATTCTGATTACTTTGGATTACTTAATATTTTTTCATGCTTTTTACAACTACATGAAAGTACTATTGCTGTGTGATTTATTACTATTACTGAAGGATACTCG